CTTCACTTATAGGTTGCTAGTGGCTAAACTGAATCTCTTTGTTATTCACAATGTAAGTACATTGAGAAGGCCTCCATTACTGAGAGCAAGTTCTAGATTTTGCTGTCAGCAATGTTGGAGCCAGAATCACTCTCAGTTTTCAGGTTTGTGAATGATAGAAGTGTGCACTGAATGGGTTGATGTTGCTCTATGAATTTTAACAGAAATAGCTACCATAGACTACTTTGCCAGTTCACAAAAAAGGCTGATTTTACAGCTGTGATGTAATACTGTATATAGGTCCTTATTTTGTGACTGAAATCATATCTGTGAAAACTAAGGCTAAGGCTTTTAAAACAGTGTAGGAAAAATTGAGAACAACTTTTTGTTGCCTTTTTTCCTCCAGCTTTATTGAGATATAATTGACATGAAACATTGTGTAAGTTTAAGGTGTATGTGTTGATTTGTTACACTTATATATTGCAAAATGATGATCGCCATACTGTTAGCTAACACCTGCATCACGTCACCTAATTACTATTTCTTTTTTTGTGGTGAGAACATTTAAGATCTACTCTTTTAGCATCTTTCAAGTGCTTTTTGTTGCCTTTTAACTAATAGAATGTTGACTCTACCAAGTGGATTAACTTTGGTCTCTGAGATGCAAATTTGTTCTCCTGGAAGTCAAGATTGAACATTTGTCTTTGAATCCTGTCCAAGTTTAGGTTTAGAGTATTCAAATTGTTAAGCTACTGGTCCTTAAAATTTTTTTAATATAGATTTTTGGATAAAAGTTTGAAATTATCATAGAGCACCTTAGAATATTTCATTTCTTTCCTGGTTTCAGGACTCTGAGAATTGCTTGTTTATTTCAAAGGTAACAAAATATTAGGAAATTCTCTTAATCATTCTTTTCCTTTCTCCTCTCTCAAATGGTATACTCCAACTGGTTAATATTATTTTGTACATAATTAGAATGAGATTTAGGACAAAAAGTCCCCCCCCCCCACCATTTGGTAGAAATCTTGGGTTTTATGTGCCATTACAGGAAATTCCTTCTTCGACTTTGGATAAGTCAGGAATTCCCTTTGGACTGTTTCCTAATCTGTGACATGAGAGGTTGGACCACTGTGTTTCTAGGGTCCTCTCAGCATTAGAATTTTATGAATCTATGACAATTCAAAGTCACTGAAATTCATCAGATGCTTCATGTAGGAATGTAGAGAAACTAAAGAAGACCCCAAATTTGAAGAATATTCTTTATTACTAACAGTATATAAAGTGATTCTAAGATCTATTGCTGATTCTAGAAATTTTTTCATAAGTCAAACAGAGAATTATAGCAGAAAGGAATGCCATTTTCTTCGTTTAATGAGTCTTGACTTTAAAGAAGAGGAATTATTAAATATTGCAAAATTTTTTATTAAATCTATAGCTCCTGAAGGAAAAACTGGTTTCTGAGTTGTTCATTTTGTATTCCATTCCAATATTATATATCTGAAATCACCATGAATTGGTAGCCAAAATGTTTCCAATGTTTAACAGTCTTTGATTTCCTTCACCTTCTGACTTGGCACAGATACTCAACAAGTTCCACAAAGAATGTACAAAATATAATAAGAAACTATATTTTTAAATTTTTTCTGTCTTCCTCTGACTTGAGTTTTTTTCATTGAGGATATTTTCTAGTTCTAGTGTGTCAAAATGTAGTGTACAGAGCTGTAGCAACTGGGCCCTGATTCCAGGAATTGTCACAATACCTGCCTATTTTAAGAGATTAATTTTTAGTTTTGTTTTTTTTTGGTCAGTTAGCAAATACCAACTAAACATTCTAATAAAATACCATTAACTAAAGAGAGGGCTTAATATAAGTGAGTTATCTTCTTCTCACTAGGCAGTGATTCTCCATCTTGACTGCCATCAGAATCATTCTGAGGATCTCTAGAAACCCCCAGTGCCCAGGCTGCACCTCAGGCCAGTGAGAGCGGTGGCCTGGGCTGGGGCTCAGGTGTCAGTGGTGTTGAAAGATGCCCAGGTGATTCCAGTAAGCAGACAAGGTTAGACCCTCTCATCTAGGGTTCTTAGTTTGTTTGAAATATCACAATAGCCTAGTTATTAGAGGACCACCCCCTAATGTCTAAACACACTGGATTTTTGGATAGCAAAGTATGGTGAAGATGGCCTTGCAGGGTGAGTCAGGATCGAGTTGGAAGCCTGCCTCTATCAACACCAGTTATGTTAACCTGGACAGACATTTTACTCTGGTCTGCAGTTTCATTCCAGCTTTAGCATTCATCTTTAACACTTAATAGCATTATAGCAATTTTCTAGTCTTTTCTCTATCACATCAAGTAGTTGATAGGTTCAAAATTTCAATCAAGTTGTTTTGATTCAAGTGGCCATGTGATGGAGAGACCTTTAGTTTGATATTCAGCTAATGACTCACCATTGAGAAGATTTAGATTTTATGAATTTGAAATTCAGTGAGTTGATGTTGATATTTCCGTTATCTAAGAAGTAAAGGCTTTCTAAGCAAATCAGTAGCAGAAGCCTTGTTCATGCTTCCTGAGTAATGTTAAGCCTACTTAAGAAAACAAATTGTTTTGAGAACTTTGTTACATATGTAGGCATCCTCACCACAAATGAGTCTTACACATTCATTAAAGCAGATTTTGAAACTGAGAGGCAGTGATGGGGAGAGACTGAGACAAGAGGCAGAGGATTTGGGCACTCATCTGGATTTTGCCATTTATTAGCAGTTTAATTATAGGCAAGTCACTTAATCTCTGAGTCTTAATTTCCTCATCTATAAAATGGGAATAATAATAATATCTACCTTAATTATTTCACAGAGTTCTTATGAGGCTCAGATTAGATCATTCATTTATTCAACAAATATATGATTCACTGAGTGCCTATTACTTACCGGGCAACACTCTAGATGTGAAGGATATAAAGAAGGAAAATATGCCTTGGAAGGAGGTAGCAAGTATATTAGTCACTGCTCACATTTAAAAAAAATTTATATTGTAAGCCCTTTGAAGAGGGCTTGCTTTTTCATCTCTGTGTTTTCATATCTCAATACCTGGCACATAACATAGAAGGAACTAAAATATTGGTTATATGAATGAATGAATCACATAATTCATTTCCTTGAAAATATTTTGTTACTCTAGACTGGGGCTCCCTTGTACAAGTTGAAATGAGTAAAGTGTGGATGTGGTTTCATTTTCCTGCTGGGTTAAAGTTCCACATGAACTTGAACGTAGTAGTCTAACCTGAGATCCTTTCAAACCACAGCAATGGTTACTTTTTTAGTTGGAGTTTAATTCAGTTTGGGTTAGTATTCCCTTTTTTCCAATTACCATTTCAACGACGTCAGGAGTACCTGTTTTTGGCTAATGTCCTTTTCATGTTTGGTATTAATCTGAACTCCAGTATTTCTTTTGGAAAGGAAGATAAATTCTTTCCTTGACATCCCTTTTTTCCATTAAGTTAAAAAAAAGTCACTTCATAAATGTGATTTCAAACAGCTGGATTTTAATCTTTCCACCTTATGGGGAGAGAGTTTGGCTTCAGCAGTGCTCCTGCCACGTGGCCTGGATCACACTCAGCACATAGATATTTTAACCTGGACGGTGCAGCCAGTGACGAACTTGTGGTTGTACATTTGGGTTGTGTTCACATGTTATTGTAAACTAGGTCAGGGGCTGTGATTGGTCCGTTTTTCTATACTCTTTTAGGAGAATGTGAACAAATGGAGAACTGTGATATCCCTTTCATACTGGGTCACAGAAATACTTTGAGGATGTAAATTCTGTCTCTTTACAACAGATAAGGGGTTATTTTCTTTGCAGTCCTATGTGTTGTTAGCATAACTGGAGGAGGCCTCAGTGTGCTGATGTCCAGTCTTTCATTTGGATAATGCAATTTTAGAGTTGAAAGGATCTTGGACTTGCTCTAGGCCTTCCACTCATATTCTAGACAGACAAAATCGAGGAGAAATGAGGTGGCTGTGATAGTCAGCGTCAGGGGGGATTCCTGGGACCCTTTTCCTGAGGTTGTTTTCTACTGGCTGCCCACAGAGTGGGACGTACTGTGCAAGTCCTGCTAGCTTCTGTGGGTGCTCCTAGGAAGAAGCTCACGGTCAAATGCAAAGTGACATTCAATGTAAGATATATATAGATGTTTATGTGCCCATGTGTATGTAATTGTGTAATTTCCTTTATCCTTAATTGCTTAAATTGATAGTAATATGTTAAGTTTGCAAATTTATTTTAAAGTCTTATCAAATTAAATTCCATTTTCAAATATTGATTTGTACAGGTTTCAGGGATCCCATGCTCAATGCGGCCTATAGTGATTTGGGTTGGGCTCAATCCTATTCTTTAAGTCACTCATATGGCGCTTGGCATGGATGCTTCTCAGGTAGCAGAGAGCACACATTATTTTCCCATGTTTTACATTGTGACATCAGTGCTACCCCGCCTGGTGTTAAACCTGTTTTTTCTTAGGCACAAGGTGAATGAACACCAGAGAGGTTAAATATTTTGCCCAGAGCTTCACAATATCTAGTGACAAGTTGGAAATAAAATATATGAGCCTCTTTTTGTCACGCCTGAGCTCCCAAGTTCTACTGTAGCCCCAGTTGCTGCTGCAAAGTCATCTTTGGAGGTGTGGAAAATGGCCAAGGATTTTTTTCAAGCAAAATAAGAGCCCCATAGCTCTGACTTTTGCTGGGCAGGTCATGGAAAGAAAGCACCTGTGTTACCTTTTTTGTGGGTTAGAGACGTGGGAAGAGTAATGTGTGGAGGCCCCAGAATGTACCTGGGGCACTGTCTTGTGCATTTCGTAGAAGTAAAGTCCGTACCAAGATAGCTTGTCTTTGAGTTCAGTTCTTGGGCTCTCCAGGTAGACTGAGTTCTCAAGCTATCATGGCATGCAAATGGGGAAGAAAAAAAATAACTCAACAGTATTAAGTTTGCATTGACTACTTAATGTTTTATATTGTACTTTTTCAGAGTGCAAATTCACCTGCACCAGCGGTAAATGCTTGTATCTTGGTTCACTAGTCTGTAACCAACAGAACGACTGTGGGGACAACAGTGATGAAGAAAACTGTCTCCTGGTAACCGAACATCCACCTCCAGGCATCTTCAACTGTAAGTTCTGCCACTCACCTTGGCATCAAGTTTAATTGTATTTTTGAAATGGTTAGGAGGTGAGGTCGTGGGGAAATGGGAAGGATATTGTTTTTTGGTTAAGAACAAAGGGAGTGTTTTCTTCTTTTAGGATAGAAAGCTCGTGTGTCTAAAGTGGGAAATTCATTCTATTTTCAGAGATGGCCAGTGGCGCTGTGTTTTGGAATAAGCTTTTGCTACTTATCTTAGAAGCACTGACTAGATTCTAGGAAATAATATATTGATTTATTAGTCTTCATACCAATTTTGTAGAAACTTTTAGAGTAATTTTAAATAAAAAATTTTAAATAATTAAAAAAATTTAAATAAGCAAAAAAAGATATATGGAGAGTTCATAATAATCATGTAATTAAAATAAGAAAATAAAAAAATTTTTATGGGACTTTTAAAAGAACTTTCTGATCATGTTTTTTTCTATTTGATACTGGACAGAAAATAACTTAAGTGAGGTGTTTATGTGTGTGAATCCCAAGGCTGAGGCTTTGAGCATTTCTTGAACTTGAAACAGGTGAAATCAGAGTTTGAAGTTCGTTGATTTTTGATCTCATGGTTTTTATAAGGAGGAAGGAGAAAGAAGGCAGCTTTGAAACACTGCTGAACTTCTCTTAGGAAAAGTGGCTTGTTGTTTCCTCTGTTTCCGTGGGCTGAGTGAAGTGGGTTGAGGATGAGAATGTGTTTGCAATAGCACGTTCTGGAAGAATGTTTGCAGCACTGACCCTTTTTATGGAGTCTTCTTACGAAGATCATTTCATGAAACATTCAGCTTCTCTCCCCAGTTTTACTGACATTATTTTGAGGAATTATATTTGTTTTTACTTATAGATTTTTAAATTTTTGTTATGGAAATCAGACTGTGTAAATACTGATACTGTAATATGAAATGTGAGGAGATTTTTAAAAAGAAACAATTTTCTCTATTCCTACTGTATTTTTACGTGGGGGAAAGCTCAGAAAATGACTGTGCCTGGCGAATTTTAAGTCTGCTCTTTATGCTTGCTGAATTCAAGAGTCTAATAGTGCAGTAGTTTTCTTGAATTTTTTCTGTTGTGTTAGTTTGTGTTTCCTTATATTTCACATTCCTAGAGTCCCATCTCTATACTTTGAGAAGACAATTTAAGGTTAGGAGTCTGTTTTCTTGGTATTTGGTTCGTGTGTTTCCTCTGGTGATGTTTTGTGCAGTAGCCTGTGGTCTTCAGCACTGTAATTTGTATAATGCAGCTTGCCTGGACACGGGGAAGGGGTCTCTAAAGTGAGTCGTCCTGCCTGCTCCAAGCCTGACTGCTGGTTTGGGATCCTGGCTCTGACACTTATCCAACAGCTGGGCCGCTCTGTGCCCTCATCTGCACAATGGAGTATCAGAATGAGTTTCTTGAGGATTGAGTGGGATGGTCCACATAAAGCACTTAGAACAGAATCTTGCTAGTGCTAAGCACTTGCTATACGTCAGCTAGACTCAAGCCAGAGTGTCTTAGAAGGAGAAGAGCAATGTAAAGGCAATTTCTTATTTCGTTTTCTCTAGACTTGAGTAGCAGCAAACACGTACATGATAAACTGTGGAAAGAATACTATGATGATGTGTGGTACCTTGACTGGATTTGAGAGTTCTGTGTGAAAAGCAGGCAGACCAAACCTTTGGCCCCCTGCCCTGGGGCGCTTCACAGACTGTTTCTCTGTATCTTGAAGGTGCTTCTCCTTCACTTGAGGGTCCTTCCACTGCAGTCCTCCTATTATATTGAACCCTCTTCCCTTCCCCCCTGCCTCTCTCGCTTTCTCATTCTTTCTTGGTTTTAAAGCCTATTTCCAAATATTCTCTCCATTCATTTTTTTAAAATGTGAACACTTAAATTTTGCTTAGAAGCCAGGTGAAGCAGTTACATCTATAAATGGCTCAACATTGCCCCAGGCAGCTACAGGAGTTTGCTCTAACAGAGGAATCCTGAGATCCTTTTGGCAAACTATTGATCTCTACTGTTCAGATATAGCTAAAATGGGAGATTATTTACAACGTGCTCTCTTTTAAGTGACGTGAGAGCCAGGAGACAGAATAATAACAGCCATGGCTGTGGCTTCAGGTTGACTTGGGTTCAAGTTCCATCTTAAGGAAGTGGCTGAACCCCTTTAAGGCTTAGTTTCTCTATATGGGTAATGGGAATGATTTCTGCCATTTAAGATTGCTATGAGGATTTAAATGAAATAATATACATGAAAAGCATAGTCTACACAATCGCATCCTGACTGTCATCATCCCTGCTCATTGTGCGGCCATTTCTTGGGGAGGTGGACCATCATGACTTTGTATCATCTCGTCTTGAATGCCAGAGCCTCTCTTCATATGTAACAGGAGTTTCCAGGTGTTCAAAGGTGAGTTCATCCCCAGAGGTTCTGGATGTTTCCCACCTACTCTGTCCCCTAGGGAGCACCTGCTGGGGAAGCCTGCCAGGTGAAGGTGGCTTGCTGTGATTGGCCAGCAGCCCCCTTTGCACTGCTTTCCCCCAGTTCTCTACAAGCACCCGAGGGAGCCGGGCCGATTTGTCACTTTGAGACACTTGCTCTGAGTTTGTTGTATCTGGTCTGTTCTTTGTGGTCAGGAGCCTTTGGGAAAGGTTGTAGCTTCCCTGCTCTTGGTTGATGCTGGAGGATGGTCTAATACGGAAAGAACATATTCTTTTCCCCATACCTTGTCAGGCAAGAATACAGAGTAAACAAAGGATATTTTACTTCCTATTAATAGCTTAGAGACTCTCCATTTGTAAGTGGATTTTAATGGATTTACCAGTGTGTTTCCTACAGCAGATGCACAGTACGCTCTTCACAGAGTGCTAACTCTGATGATTAGGCTCCCCTTCCTTTCCACCTTGAGAACTTGAAGTATTACAGGAATTCTTATCTATAAAATGTTGCATTCCAGAAAAACAAATAGTGCCTCCTTCTTGTTCCTGTTTAAGAACCAGATTTGTTTACTTAATCTGCTTTGTTCCTGCCTGGAGGAAACATTCAATGTTTTGCTATTTGGTTGCGCTTAGGGTAAAGCAAGGTACAATCTTCTGGATTTCCAGATGAGCTAGAATCAGTCTTCTGTCTATGTTGTTGGCTGTGGGCATGCACCATGGCTCAGATGTCTTGGTCATCTCTGTCTCTCTAGAATTTAGCATGAATTAAGGTTAGAAAGGAAATGTTACTGTCATTTGTGAAGTCAGCAATGGTAATGCTAATGGAAGCCCTGTTTACTGCAGCTGTAAATAATTTTTCTCTTCCAAAAATGTTTTTGGAACCTAGACTGAGTGATTTCACCGGCTTCTCTACTTTGCTAACTGTGGTCAAGCTGTACATTGACTGAGGCTAGTTTATTTTTCTGGGAGCCCCAAAGGGTTTTGCACAGATGTGGAGGACTGGGCTGGTGTTGATTATCTCATAGGGAAAGAGTTTTGCTGGATGCATCTTTTTGCAGAAGAGGGAAAATGCTATCAGCCTAAATTGCCAGCTTTTCTCTTGTTTGCTCCATCAAAATATTGTACTCCTGAGCACTAAAAATACAAGTTATACAAATAAAATTATTTATTATTTTTAAAAATAAAATATTTTTATACAAATTATATTTACAAATGAAATTATTAAGTGCCTTCTTTGGTCATTGTTCCAGGCGTTGTGGGGAATGAAGGAAAACATAGATTCTGTTATCAGGGATAACAGTCAAGTGCTGATAGTCAAGTTGGGAAACTGAAAGATTTCCACAATGCAGTTTCAACAATTTGTGGCTCAGGAGTTTATGGAGAATCACTCTGGTTGGATTAGTAGTCATGGTAGCTTCATGGAGGAGGCATGCTGGGTGGCATGGAGAGGACAGAGTGTCAGGGCCGAGAATAGCACGAGTGTGGGGAGAGTGAGGGTGGACGCCCTGATTCGACAGGAGGCCTGGGCTGGGGGTAGCCTGAGATAGAGTTGGAAAGGTAGGTTGGGCCGATAGAGAAAAGCCAGTAAGCCATGCTACACCTTCTGCCCTTGTCCCTGAAAAGAGACTGACCGCCTGTAGGTCTGCTGCACATGTGTAGGGGAGAGCTGCACAGCTGCCTGTCGCCTGGGTGATGCTGGCATCACCGCTCCCAGACTTTTACTCAGTGAACCCTCTGCCTCGCGGTTCCTACCAAGCTGTTTTCTGTTACGTTACATTTTCAAAGCCCCTTTGCCGCATCTTGTTGGGGGAGAGCGGAGTTCCTTTGACTTCCCAGAAGCAATAATTGAATAGCCTTGGAAAGAGCTGTGTGCTTTGAAAGTGTTGGCAAGAACAGACCTTCCTTAATCAATCACTGCTAAGGAATTCATGCCACTAGACTTTAAGAGTAAGACCAAAGTTGAAACGAAGCCAGCAGTCAATCGGAACAACTTTCACTTTCGGCTTCAGTGGCATTTCCAATTAACGGAGAGGATCCGATTCAGGGCACGTGGAGAGTGGAGGAGCTCCCGTCCCTACTGGAGGGGGAAGTTGCTTCTTTCTCTATAGGTGACCTCTTAAACTGAATCTCAAAGTCAAGTGAACTGAAGCTAATATAGCGTACCCAGTTAAGCCAGAATTTTAGCTTAAGGACTTTTTCAGAAGGAAACTTTTTTTTTGCTCAAGGCCATTTAGGGTAATAACAACCAAATAAGATAAAATTCAACATATTAAAATCGGAGCTGTGTTCTTCCCAAGCCAGCTGTTCTCACCTTCTTCATTTTTTTTTTTTCCCAAAGGGACTATTTGTTATCTAGGCTCAAGACATCAGTCAGGTTTAGGCACTACACTGAGCTGTACTACCCTGTACTTCACCTTTGGCTGTCAACTCCCTGCCTCCCAAGTTTGTTTGCTTGTTCATTCATTCATCCATCCATTCACTCATTCTTTATAGTTGACAGACAGCACTATATAAGTTTATGGTGTACAGCGTAATGACTTGACTTACATTTATTGTGAAATGATTACCACA